GCTGTTAGTCATTTGTACTTGCTCACTGGTGAATTGTCTGTTTCATATTCTTTTCTCATTTATGAACTAGAAAATCTTAGATCATTCCCTATTTATTTCCACATCCATGTATATATACATATATAGGAGAAAATATTTTGTCTAATACTTCTTTTGCAAGTAATTTAGCTTCTGATTGTGTGTGTGCGCGCACGTGTGTCTGCTGGGGAGTAAGCCTAGTGCTTGTGCCTGCTAGGAAGTGCTCTATCTCTAAGCTGCACTCCCAACTCTAGTTTCTATTTTTTCAACCCATAGGATTTAATATTTCATGTAATCAAATGGATAGGATTCCCCTCTCCCCACCTAAAAGCTAAGATAGGTCGTACTCAGAGACAGAGAAACATCTATTCGCAATTTCTTCTATTTTGTTTGCAGTTTGATTTTTTTAGGGCAAACTTTTTTTTTTTAAGTGTGTGTGGAGGCAAGTCAACATCCAATCTATCATTTTAAAAACAATTTTATTATTATTATGAGTTTTGAATGAGATGACTTGCTGACCCTGGAGCCCACAGCTGGGCAGTAAGGCCCTGGCATCTGCCTTTCTCCACCTCTCAGTACTGGGACTAAAGGTGCCTGCCACCATGTGGCTCCTTCTGTGGGTGCTGGGGATCCGAGCTCAGTCCTTCATACTTCCACAGTCCTTCATGCTCAGCACAGACGGAAGCGTCCCCTTGGTCCTGTCAACATTCTTGTTTAATTCTAATCAGAAGTTTCATCCATTTGATCAGTAAATATCTTGAGTGACTCTTTATGCTTGGCAAAATGGAGATGCTGGGATAAATAACAACCGGCAATGTTTAGCGTGGGAGAGATGAGTGGCCGGCAGGCCACGGCCGTGCAGTTAGGGGCTGTGGTAAAGGTGGCTCAACAGCTCTGGTGCAGGCTGAGCCCAGTCGGTCAGGGTTGAGAGCCGCTGACAACTCTCCAAACTTTAGCCTTGCTCTTAGAGAATTAATTCCCTTGAGCTAACTCGATAAACACAATTTCTGCTACAGGCAAAATCTGATTATTCATGGAGCATTTTTCATGCTCTACTAATAGGCAAAAAGTCACCAGCAACACAGGAAGCAAGAGAATTATGCTTAAAATACTTAGAAAAACAATGCAATATTTCTTCAGCAAGATTTCAAGTCAGGATTCAGAGGAACAAGGCCGGCTGAGATAATGTGGAATTGGCTTTTGTACAACAATGAAAGGAAACCTTAGAGATTAGCAAAAGTGAAAAAACAAAAACAATCTCACTTATAATCAATGTATAAACGGAAACAGGAAGATAACATGTTTTAAACATAGGATTCAGATAATTCACTTGGGTATTTCTATACTAATGTTACGAGTATAAATTAGTAAATCAGTATTACTTTTTCCCCTTTCCTTGTTCTTTCTTTCTGAGATGAGATCTTATGTCTTCGATTGACCTTGAGAATTTGCTATGGAGTCGAGAATGACTTTGGATCTGTGATTTTTCCTGCATTTACCTGAGTGCTGGCACTAAAGGTGTGCGCAGTCATGTCTAGTCCATCCAATCATAGGGCTTCAGTGTGTGAGGCAAGCTAGCTACCAACTGAGCTACATTGTCAGTTCCTGAATCAGTATAATTGTCACGAAGACTATTTGGGTATATTTATCAAAAACCTTAATAAATATGTACAGTCTTTGACTCACTGATTTTTTTTCTAGAATTTATTTCATGTAAAGGAGCTATGTATGAGATGGTTTCTGATAACAAAAATCTCATCAAAATAGCAAAGCTGGGGGAAATGTCCAACAACAGGGGACTGATTAAATGACAAAGTGGCACATAATCAAACATTTCAAATATTAAATACATGGAAAATAATAAAGTACAGGCGGTGGTGGCGCACGCCTTTAATCCCAGCACTCGGGAGGCAGATGCAGGCGGATCTCTGTGGGGTCGAGGCCAGCCAGGTCTACAGAGCAAGTTCCAGGACAGGATTCAAAGCTACAAAGAGAAACCCTCTCTTGAAAAACTAACAAAAACAACAATAACAATAATAATTTAAAAATAACAAAATAGGGTAGGATAGAGTAAGAGTACTAGCTGATCTTCCAGAAGACCAGGGTTCAATTCCCAGCATCCACATGGCATCTTACAACTGCCTGTAACTCCAGTTCTGGGTCCTCTTCCGGCCTCCACAGATACTAGACACACACATGGTGCATAGGCACACATGCAGCAAAACACCCATACACATAAAAATAACAAAATGATCTTTACAGTATCAACATGTCACGAGGAACCATGTTGGAATGCCTTTTCCTGAAAGCCAAGATGCTAACCTGAGAGTCAAATTGGGGTTTTCTTTACTCTAATTTCTCTATTGAATTTTCTAATTTTTTTCTTTCTTTTTAAATGACATCTGCCCTGTTTATGTGGGGGGTATCTCAAAACAGTCTCCTGGAGGAGAAAGGAGGGAGAGGCTCAGAGCATTCCAAGAGAAACCCATTGTCGCCAAGCCTGACATGATGCTACCTCTTGGGGATGACTCCAGGTCCTGGAAGGTGGTTGGCCCAGCTGACAAATGTTTTGCAAGGGTGTCGTTTCCTGCTGAGCCTGAGCCGTGGATGATTATCCAAACAGGCATCCCATTCTGATCCCAGTGCTGTGTATGTAAGAATCTAGGTGGTATTCCAGCCAGCAACATTTCAAACATGCTGTCACTGGCTCTGCCACCACAGAATGTGCTGAGTCCCACCAGCATTGGCCTTGGGCAGCCACATGCCTTGGGAAATTCCTAGATAACTAACAAGTGAAATATTGCTTCCTGCTGGTGTGGTTTGTTAAGTTTTGAGTGTGCTTATTAATTCTTTCATCTGGGAATGCTACCCAGATATTCACTTGAACACATCTGACTAGTTCTTGGAAGCTTCTGTATTGCTTTGATACACAATTAGCACTTAAATCAGGGCAGGGAGTTAGACCCTGTGCGTGCTAGACAACTGAGCTTACCCCTACCTCTACTCAGTAGGATTAAGTAAAGCTGACTACCTTCCATACTTGGGTGAACCTCATCCAATCAGCTGAAGAAGACTGAGGTGCCCCATAGAATCCTGTCTGCAAAATAACCCCTGCAGTCAGGGGCCCTTGCCTGTTCTTCTCTCAGAGAAACCTACACTACAGGCTTTGGTCTTGTTGGCCCTACGACCATGAAATAACCCCACAGCCCCACATCTATGGCATGTCTCCATTTCTCCAGTACATTCCGGGTACTGTAGAGAGTTAATGCCTCATTTCTTCTTTGGATTCAGAAGGAGGCAGTAGTATATTCCTATCCTTTTTTGCATAAGAGCAATGCTTTCTCCAACAAAGTTAGGATTACATAGTCCTATTTGTGTGATGTAGTTATATCAGTGCTTTGCGTCCTGACTTTGCGATGTCACATTGCCTACTTACCCAAGAATGGCTGAACTATCAGCACAAAGGGGACAGGATTCTTCCAACTCAGTGTCAAGTTTCTGGGTTGTGAAGCGCCTCAGAAGTGGTCTGGACGTTCCAAAGATGGAATGATAGAACTAGTCCTGAAACAGTAATGGTGCAGTGTATTGGTTTAACAAGGCCCTAAGCATGTTCTAGAACCTTCTAAGCCCTGAGTTAGGAAGGGATGCATTACAACCACTTCCAGTGTGCAGAAGACCAAACAGAATCAGGAGGTCATGTGACATACGACCCTCTTCAGCTAGCCTCCGAGAAAGCCAGGACAGACACCGAGCCTTCTCTGATGCTGTTTTCTCGGCATGTGGACATGTACCAGTGAGCCCGCTCTACCAGGGGACTGGAGTGCCAATTCAGCATCTGAACAAGGACATTTATCGCCAGTGGGGTGTTTTGGTTTTTCGATTGATAAAAGACAGTGACAAATTGGTCATGGTCATTCATACCTATAATCCCACACTATTCCCAAAACGGAGGCAGACCAACGAGAAGAAAGGGAAATCTGGGTGGGAAGGATAACTGGCGAGTCTGAGGGTTGGGAACAGTGGGGACTCCTCCTAATTTTCTATACAATGGACTCAGAGCTTCTCTCTCTCTTTCTCAGTTTCTCTAAACCTTAATTCAAAGGGACCTTACTCTGGGAAGCAGTTTCCAATCAACCGCCCAAAGCCATGCCCATGTCCTCTGTGCATTCGCTCCTATTTTTTTCTGGGGCTAATCATAATATTAGCCACGCACCTGCCCATAATGAGTCCATGAGGCCTTGTGGACCACGGAGCTCTCTGAAAGGGTTTTGTAGTACAGACCGGAGAAGCCAGAAACATGTGTTATGTTCGATATATATTCAAGGTGGCATAGAATGTGGCTGTCACTCTCAGTGCTACTTGGAGTCAGGGTCTCTTTCTATATAGCCCAGGCTATCCTCCACACATAGCAATTTGTCTGCCTCAGTCTTCCAAACGGTGGGATTACAGTGGTGGAATGACCATGCAAATTTTATTATCGTTATTTTTTTATCAATTAATAAACACTGATTTTACAGGCAACCTGGTTATATAGTGAGACCCCTGCTTCAAATCCAAAACCAAAACCCCCTCCCAAAAAGCCATTAAAAACTAAAAGCACAATTATGTAATTTTAATTTTTTTGAAAAAAATTTCAATATTCATTTTCCCACACAGGTGCCACAGTGTGCAGGTGGGGGTCACAGGACAACTTTCAAGAGTTAGTTCTTTCCTTCCATCATGTGGGTCCCAGGAATCGAACTTAGGTTATCAGGCTTGGCGGCCAGCACCTTTATGTGCTGAGCCATTTCAATGGCCTGGAATTTGATTTTGGGACAAGGTCTCACTATGAAGCCATGGCTGGCCTGAAATTTGATATGCAGACCAGGCTGGCCTCAAACTAGGATCGAAGGCATGCACTACTATGGCAGAAATTTTGCTATTAATGTCAAAAAAAGGTATCTGCTGTTTTAAGTGATAACGAGCCCATGAATTTTTTTAAAAAAGGCATTTATTACTTTTACCGTATATAACACAATGCATTTCAACATTAGACAATATGGGTAAACAAAAGACAAGAAATAAAATACACCCAGAGGTAACCAGAGTTCATATTTGTTAAGCATCAAGCTCTTTTCCCATGTAAATGTTTAAACAAAGGTTTTTAATTTCACACGTTTACCTTGGACATTACAAATATCTTTCCTGGCATTTGTTACACACTTGTGAAGTTAAAAAAACTACACGGTATTCCTGTCGGAAATTGATCCGTCTCATTTTCCCCATTAAGGTGTATGGAGGTGGGCTTTCGTGTGTCCACATTGCAGCTGTTCACTGGGTATTGGTTAGAGTAGCGTGTGTAACCAGCATCACAGCACACGTTTACAGCTTCTGTGTCTCTAGAAAGTCTCCCACGGCTATTTATGGGTGAATGTTGCCCCATGCCTGCTTTACGTTGGCCTGCCTTTATGAACGTGCCTTTCTTGCCAGGTCACGTGAAGAGACGCGTGCGGTGGTTTTGTTTCGTACACCTGATTGTGCCGAGCCTGTTTCCGAGGCTGATCTGGGTCGTGGCCTGGCCACTTGTTTGTTCTTGAGCCGTCTTCTCTTCTGTTAATTTGTAGTTTTCTGTTTCAAAGCCCGTGCCCACTTTTCCACTGTGGTGGGGAGGATTTCGCCGGGAGAGGCCCAGTCTTTCTTAGACTAAGCAGGGTTCTAGTGGCACCGGGAACAATGACACTGTCTTTAGCTTCCAAACCAAGGACCGTCAGTACACGTCTCTGGCTCTGGGCCTGTACGGCACTGATGAATAATAAAGATTATTTATTTGAATCAAGTTTTAGTTTCCTCTCTTCCGAGAATGATGTGAATTTCCAATTAGTTTTCTAAAACAGTTAATCCTCTAAAGCTGATCCTAACTTTAATAGAAGCATTCTTTACTGACGGAGGCAGAACACAAAGAAATAAATGTGACCTTACTTCAATGTCACCTTGGAAGCTGGCTTGTGGTGCCGGTGCCTAGAGCCCAGTAAGCTCCTCCTCCACAGACAAATCACTGTTTGCATATTAGTACTCAGAGAAAAGAAAGGAAAAGGAAAGAAAAGCTAGGTGTGGTAGCGTCCACCTGGAATCCTTGCACTCTGGAGACTGGCGGGAGTGTGCCACAGTGCGAGGCTAGGCAGGGCTACACAACCCGACTCTGTCTCAGAACAGTAAAACAAAACACATAGTTTTAAAAAAAAGAAGCTTGTAGAACTCACACCATGGCACAAACTCTCCAACCTGAAGAAGGAAAATGTCCTATCTACATCCCAAATTAACTATTTCTAGATTGGCATCTAAGCTTGTCCTTCCAGAAATAAAAACTCAGGCTTGGTAAAAGTTCTCAGCCAGGTGGTTGTGGTGCACGCCACAGAGGTAGATGGATCTCTGCTCTACAGAGCAAGTTCCAGGACAGCCAGGGCTATACAGAGAAACCCTGTCTCAGAAAAAAAAAAAAAAAAGCTCTCCAGGTAGCAGGGAAACTCTTGGATGGTGCCCATCACTACCCTAGTTCCTCACATTTCCCACCTGTCCCAGACGGTCTCGAAGCTAACACAGCTACATCTGGGTTCCTCATTTGTATGAGCTACTTCCTAGCTGAGGTTCCACATTTGATGTGGGAGTGTCATATATCAATCTGTTGATTTCATTGGTTAAGTAATAAACACACTGCTTGGCCTCATAGGTTAAAGCATTGGTGGGAGGAATAAACAGAATAGAATTCTGGGCAGAAGAGGAAGTGAGGTCAGACTCTGCTCTGCTTCCAGAGAGACCGGACAGCTCTGCTCTCTGGAGCAGAGACACCATGATGGAAGGAGGCTAGAATCTTCCCGGTAAGCGCACCTTGGGGTGCTTACACAGATCATTAGAAATGGGCTAGTCCAGGTGCGAGAATTGGCCTGTAAGGGCTAGAGTTCATGAGCCAAGCAGTTCTTTAAATAAATGCAGTTTGTGTGTTGTTATTTCGGGCATGAGCTAGCCAAGCGGCCGGGGTGTTGGGGACGCAGCCCCGCTGCTCCTATTTCAACACACATTCTGTGTTGTTCCTTAAAGAGGCAACTCCAAACTGTGTAGGTGTCAGCTGGTGTAAAGCCTGGACCTGTCCCTGGAACCAAAGGTCTTTTTCGGCCGGGCATGGTAAGATCTCCCTGTGCTCCTGGCATTTAGGAGCTGGAGGGAGAGGATGCAAATCTAGGACATCCTTGGCTACACAGAGAGTTCAAAGTCAGGAGGACCCACGAGAGCCTAAATAATAATCATGATGATAATAATAAAATAGGAAAAGGCATCTATCTTAACCGTACTGAAGATTCACAGAAGGCAGGTGGCTTCCATCATGGCAGTATGTATACATATTTCTACAAATCTTTGTCATGATTTATCTCAGACATTGCTTAAGGAAAAATTTGCAATATAAACAATAAAGCGACAAGGGAAGTGATTCACCTAGAAACCCATCATTACTCCAGCAGGTCACGCACCAGGTCATTTGTTCTTCTTTGGGACCTTCTGGTTTTGCACAAATCATTTCAGTGCTAGAGTTGACCTGGGATGTAGAAACACAGCTCGCAGCCGGGCGGTGGTGGCGCACGCCTTTAATCCCAGCACTCGGGAGGCAGAGACAGGTGGATCTCTGTGAGTTCGAGGCCAGCCTCCTCTACAAGAGCTAGTGCCAGGACAGGCTCCAAAACCACAGAGAAACCCTGTCTCGAAAAACCAAAAAAAAAAAAAAAGAAACACAGCTCGCTCTGGGAAGCCCCAACCTATCTATCCCACTGGCCTTCTACACTCAGCTCCTCCAATCACATACCACAGGCCTCGACGAAGACAGGGCACCGAGAGGGCAGAAGCTGGGTACTTCGGTGGCATCTAAGGAGGGTGACTCAGTTGCTGGGCCACTGCTGGGACCACACCTTGCCTGTTCACCACAGCACGCTCAGTGCTTAGCACAAGGTCCGGCATTCGGTAAGCACTCAAGTACTGAATGATTAATCTGGAACCTGACTGACCCAATTCTTTTTCCTTCTGGAGTGCTGGGATCAGACCCAGGACCTCGTGCTTACAGGCAAGTGTTGTACCACCAAGGTGCCCCTCCAGCACCCTCATGGGGGAGGAGTCTTAGGAAAACCCTAGATAATAACATCTAATAACATTTCCATGTCAGTGGAATCCTGACTAGTTGACTGAACAAGCGCATCCTGAGGCCTGCTATGACTAAACATTACTGGCCTGCTTGGGATTGAGAGGCAGAGGGGAGTGTCTGAGGGAACCTCCTCATTCCTACTCTGGGACTATGAGGCATAGTCCAAGATAAACAGAGGGGCATTATTACTTTTTACAAGTCTTATTTTAACTTTCCAGAAGAGTGGAGAAATCAAGAAAAAAATTATATTTGGTGGGGGGAAAAGTAATCTAAAGAAGCCAGAAAATTAGGGTGCTTTAATAGTTTCAAAGCTTCTGGAAATTACGATTTTTTCCCAAAGCTTTTGGCCAGAGACTGGGCACCACTTACCGAGAGCCACGGTTTACGGGATGTCACCTTAGGTTTCAGTTAATGTGCTATAGGCTTTCCTAGAAGATCGTCACTTTAAGGAAGGCGCCGTGTAGTCTGATATGAGCCAGAGGCACAGTCACTTGAGAATGCAGAACCAGCTGCTTCTGCTTGTGGCCACTGCTAGGAGGCAATAGGATTTCCTAGCCAAAGTCTCCTAAACAAAATCCCAGAGATACTTGTTTTCAAAATAATTCTGATTTAATTTCCTTTTTTCTATAAAAAGACAAATCACATATCAGAGAACACTGTTTGGATTCTGAGGTTCCTATCAGAGCTGTTTTACAATACGTGTTTATACAATCTTAAGTGAGGTTGGCGGCGACAGTGAGAGCGGGGTCAGCCGAGCCAGTGTGTGTGTGTGACATCGGGGATTCATTTCACTCTGGATCACAGGCTGGTGACACACGACGCTTAGGCACCAGCTAGACTTGGGTTTGTTTTTGAACATTCAAGTTGGTATGAAGTCAAGTTAAACACAAAACCCAAATCACCACCGACTTCTAAAAAGCAACATGTCAATACTGGGTAAGGAAAACAGGCAGCACCGTATTCTCTGCTTTATCACCTGTGGGGTTTCGGTGAGAAATCTCCCCGTGGGCTGATGGGTCTGAACACTTGGTCCTCAACTGGTCTGGGGACCCACTCTGTGGTGGAAGTCCTGAAATTTAGGAACTGGAGTTCTGCTGGGGTGGGGTGGGCTGTGAGTTTCTACCTCTCCCCCTCACTCCGTGTTTGCACTCCTGGTTTTCTACGTGCAGAGGAAATGGGATTTACCGGCCCTGCTCTGTTGCTCCTCCGTGCTGTCCTGACCACACCGACTCCCTCTTTGGAACTGGAAGCCAAACAGACTCTTGCTTCAGGCCATGGTATTTTATCACGGTAACAGAGACAAAGCAGAACACTATCATATCAATGAATGTAAACATTTGACATTTTGAATATTCATATTAAGGAAATTAAACATTTGAAGATTACAGACTCTGTCTGTAGCACCCAGTGTATTACTAATTACATCTCATATTAATTATGCTTTCTGTCCAAGAGCCATAGGAGTTAAATACTTTAGTGTTAATAAAGAAGAAAAAATAATGCAAAAAGAAGCAAGTAAGTGTCACAAAATAAGTTTTAGAGAAAATTTGCCCCAATAGAAGCAAATACCTGGAACACATCATTCTATTAGCTGGTGAGCAGAGTGAGCGTAACTTTGGGGAGTTGCCTCTGGACAGTCCCTCCCCATAATGTCACGGGCTCCAACAGTCCCCACCGTCCCCGCGTGCTGGTGAGCACTCTTTCTTCCCTAGACTAAAAGCCCCTTGAAGATGCATGCTTTAAGACATGGCTTTAGCTCCTCCAAAGTCATGAACATTGACCGTTCAATTATTTACACAGAACAATTATGGGAATGACAATTAAAAACACACAAACATTTTCGTGGTAAGGTTCAAGTAGAAGCAGAAAACAAGCCCACTGCGACAGTCAACAGCTGCGCAGGGCTTATGAAACACACTTGATGTAAATGGAGCATTTCCCTTTAAGACAGTAGCTTCCAGCGGGCGCATTTACTCCTTATTCCAAACACATTTTTGGAGTGTGCTGATGGCAATGACTGCACCATCACCCACAGGTATAAATCTTATCCCCATTTTTTTCTCCTTCCCGCATAGGATTTCTCAGGAAGACCCTTCAAAACAATTCCTTCTATATCTTAGTGCCCTCAGCTGTGTGTTAAAGAAGCTAAATCCGAAGGCTGACCACATCAGAGCAAAAAGCGAAAGCCGTTTAATTAGACAGTTCAGGAGAGGAGAGGAGAGAGAGCAAGTCAGACTAACTGCGTGTGAGTTCCTATAGCGTCATTCTCGGCAGGACACGCACACTCATGAGTCTTGACTCGGCTAAGTGACAGGCCAAAGGAGTCTCCAAAAGAGACTGAGGAGACAAAGCCATCTGGCTCCTCTAACAGGGAATTAGGAAGTCTAAATGATCAAATCTCTTTTAGAAAACAAAAGCATAAATCCACATTCTTTTTTGTCCAGAGAGTAGCATCCCCTGCCATACTCCTTTTATTTATGAAATAGGCAAAACACATCCAATCACCCTGACTGCTAAAGCATAGCACATCTTTGATGTGTTAAAGCACTCAGGAATGCCTTTGTGGAAAAAGCAATGACGGTGGTTTCTAAAGTTCTCAAAGAGAGAAGAAACTACCACGAACATACAGAGATTAAGTCGGAACATCTCTCAAAGCACCCATCTTTGACGCAAATGCCTCTGAAGAAAGCAAGTCTGCAGTCAGACGGTCCAAAGGGCTTCTGCAGCTCTTTCTGCTAGCCAGCGCTTCGGGGACTGGCTCCATGATAAATGGGACTAGGCTCAAAGTTCGGGTTATTAGCTGAATATTAAGGTTTGCAGAAATGAAATGACATAATGTCTGAGATTGGTTTTTAAATATGTCAGAAAAGAAAAAAGCGGGAAGGAGCAGGTGAAGGAAATTCAGCTACGTCTATAATTACCAGACCCGGGGATGGGTGGGCGGAGTTTTCCATATTATCCTATTTGTGTATGTACCTGACAGTTCTCATAATGAGACTTTAAAAAGTGTTAGGAATGACAGCTTCTTATAAACACAGATCTGTAACTCCAACAGGACATAAGCCATGCTGAAAGAAATCAAAGCTGGTCTTAACTCTGGAGCTCCTAACTAGGTTTACAGAAACCATTTCACCTGCTTTTCCCCAAGGACGGACACGACACAATCTTCACACTCCTCGGAAGTGGAATTATGATACATTTTTAAAAATTTAGCCCCAAATTAGAGCGCTCTAAATGTCAGTAGTTTTGGGTGGAGCACACACCGTGTTACACGGAAGGCAGACATCTGGATTCTCGCTCAGCTTTCAGGTCAGAAGGGAAATGGGAAGAGTGTTAACTCTAGGACCTGGGTTTCCTTCTCAATCTTCTTGTCAGACAGAAGTTTTTCTTGTGCAGACGACATTCTTCCCCTCCCACTAGAGGAATGGTAGATGGTGTCGGCCCCTGTAGGTCACACCTGGACCAGAATGGCTCAGGGTACCCTGGGCGGAGTCCCACCCTTTCTAGCTATTCCCTTGTTCTTCTGAAGGGCCTCACATGCTGTCCCTCACGCTTTCTTCATTAGGCTTCACGGCAGTCCATGCAACGCTCAAAGACACGAGAAGAGTCCCCTGGGTCTGTGGGGACAACAGCTTTTGTTCACGTGTAAGATCTGGCTTGGGAACTGCAACCTCAATCTAGGTCACTGGAACTGGATTAGACAGCAACCACCTCTGCACAAGTTTATCTGATACACGCTTTCTTTTGTTTTTCTCTCGGTGTCTTGAGACAAGGTTTGACATGGTTAGGCTGGTTTCACACTGGCCATGAAACTGAGGGTGGCACAAACCCTGGTCCTCTTGTCCCCACCAGCTACCCACTGGGCTTATTTTACAGGCGTCTTCTGGGACTGATATCATTGACATTTTTTTTTTTTTTTTGTTCTTCAGATGAAGTATTTAGTTAGGAATTCATTCAATTAATAATGATGCCATGGAAACTTCTTTTAAAATGAGGTATTTGTTTTACTGTTGGAAACAGCAGCGGTCTGGGTAAACTGAAGAAATGGTCCAGCAAGTGAGAAAGTGGACGAGAGGACTCTGCAACAGAAATAGGACCTGACAACATGTCGCCTGGACCCAACCCCTGAGATTCCTAGCTGTAGGCAAAACACATCCACCTACCTTATACTTATCAACAAAAAAACCAGTGTGATTCCTTCTATATTTCTACTTGGATGCCTGGGATGGGGTCCCCGAGAAAGGCAAAGGTGAACCATCCGCATCATCCCTCCCTGCTCCAGTACAAAAATAGTTATCAGCAGACCAGCGTTTCCCTCGCTTTCAGCCGTCTGAGAAAAACGCTTAGAATTACAGCAACGACAGCATTTTCAAGTTCTTTTATGCGGAACCGTTGCCAAGGTTCAGAATACCACGAGAAATGGCGGGAAAACAGTTTTCACATGAAAAACTGAGCAAACAGGTTCGCCAGGCCCAAAATGATGATGAAAATGTGAAAGACTAATTTAGGCCATGTCAGACGCTCTTCTTGGCGGAGGGAAATTATGTAGATGAGAGAAGGGTATATGAACACGAAAGCCAGGCCACATGCTGCTCCCGAGTACCTGCAAAATGAAAACTTGCCGCGTTAATGCGCTTGTTGCATTGTGGATGACCTATAATTAAGGTAAATACAGAATAATTTAAATAAATTAAATTGTACTCAGTCTCATTTTGCAACAAAATTTGTCATTGTTACTGACATTTGAGTTTAAAACTTATTACATTTGAATTTAATAAAAATATTATTTCCTACTTGCTTTTATATCTGCATGGCAAACAGTTTTTATCCATTACTTATATCTCAGAAACATCTGGAGACAGGCTTTCATCTTGATCTGTTTTATAGACTAAGTTGGCACCACAGAGCACTTTCTTCTTTTATTGCCTGCTACCTTCTTAGGAAAGGTTCTTCACAAGTGACTCAATCTGATGTCTATATTGAGGAAGACATCAGATTATTTTGAAGGCATTTCACTCTGTCTGTTGTTCATATCAAGGAAGGCCTCAGATTATTCTGAGCGAATTTTTAGTGACAGTCTGAATCAACTTTATCCCTACTGCCTTCGATCTGCCACAACATTTCCCCTAGTTTTGATCTAATCTCGCTTTTTAAGTAGAAACGTACTTAGAGTTGGACATGTTATTGACCTATAAGGACTTCCTAGGCATACCTAAGAAGTCATGTATATTGAAAATAATTTTTCATTTCAGATAAAAGGAACACAATGGAAAATGAGAAAGGTAAGAAGAAAGGAAAGGTATCTGAGGGACGGTGGGGCTCCTAGAGCTGCTTCTCTACCAAAGATCAGCAAAAGTGCAGTTTATTGAGCACCCGCAAACTGCAGGACGTACACGGGAGCACCACCAGTATTCAGCGCTCAGAGATTCATTCAGTTAGAGCATCAGCAGCAACAACGGCAACAGAGCATGTGTGCACAGCTGTACCTTATGATCCCGCCTATGTTTGGGTAGAAACAGGCCATGGTCACTCCAGCTCCCACAATAATTAAATTAAGAATCAGCACATGGAAAATGCTAGAAGGTAAAAGAGAGTTTATGTGAAAGAAAAGACATAAAATAGGTAAGTTATAATCATTTTTTAGGACAATTAAAATCCATTCTTTTCACCTTTCAAATGGTTGTCTTTGATTTGCCAACAACACTGAAACACACTGCTTAGTGCTGGTGAGGAGAAAGTGAAGCCGGCCTTTTTATCCAGCTCTATAAAAAGGCAAATTTCACAGGTACAAATTAGCAGTGTGCAGTAGACTGCATATTGTATCTATAATTTTACTTGTGATATCTTGAGAAAGCAAAAGCATGAAGAAGTCTATTAAGGTACTTATAAAAAGTAAGAAAATTATAGATTAAGAAAATCAATAGTTTACCTGAAAGAATATAGTAAAAATTATTAAAAATAACATCATTATTTATGTAGATAAACAAGAATTATGTAAACAATTTGGAAAAAAGCTAGTTAGATTTTCACTAAACAAGAAAATCTAAAGAAAAAATTAGAGGGTAGGAATCTATGGGACGAAGAGCAGAGTCAGGCAGACGCATGGTTCTCCTGCCTGAGTCGAAGGCTGGTTAGACTCTCACGTGGTGAACATAGAATATTCGAAATGCGTTAAATCAAGATGTGGGAGTTAGCCAATAGGAGGCCACAGCTAATGGCCAGGCAGTGTTTAAATGAATACTGTTTCTGTGCGATTATTTTGGGTGTAAGCTAGCGGGGTGGCTGGGATGAAAAGCAGGCCCTCCCCACTTCTACAACAGTTTACATTAAATATTGATAATGTACCTTTCAAAATGAAAGCTACTGGTAATACTCAATAAAGCTGAAGAATATAAAGAAATCTTGAGTTCAAGACCATCATGCACTGTCTGTAGAATATGCAACTACAGGGGAAATGACAGTGTGTTCTTGTCAGAGGGAAGAAACATAACTTGAGCACAAAAGGGAATTCTCAGACTTTTTTACAAGAAGAAAAAACACACTAATAGCCACGATTAAAACAGCGAACCCCCCCCCCCCAAAGGAAAAAAATGAAAAAGAAAGAAAGCTGGGTGGTGGTCTTTAATCCCAGCACTTAGGGAGGCAGAGGCAAGTGGCTCTCTGAGTTCAAGGCCAACCTGGTCTACGTAGTGAGTTTCAGGGCAGCCAGGGTTGTTACACAGGGAAACCCTGTCTCAAACAAACAAACAAAACAAAGCAAAAAATGGTCAAAGACAAGAGGGCTGCATTAGCCCAGAAATATTTCATCTCACCAGGTTTACTTTATTTTGGTGAAACAAATACAGTAGAGTTAATGGAGTAACAAACAGAAACTCTGTATTTTCTGAATGCCAAAGTTCTAGGATATAAGTGTTACGACTGTGGCTTGCTACTCATCAATGTCGAAGAGGACACTGTATCAATGTAGCAAGAATACCTGGTAGCTCTTGACTTGAATTGTTTCATGAGGGGACAGTCTGCAAACAGGAACTGTTACCCTTTTTTAGTATGTTAGCATAAATATAATGTTTTCCTATATTATATTCATAAATTTTCTTTCTTTAAAATATTCCACTCACACCTACAATCCCACCATTTGAAAGGTTGAGGTGGGGTAATGAGTTCCAGGCTAGCTCTGGCAACATAGTGATACCCTCACCCAACACCTCCACTCCCAAAGCTAATATATTCCCAATAAAATATGGCTGGGTAGTTTTTGTAACATTTACTGTAAGGGTTAACCAGGGGATTTCGAGACATCTTCAGGGAATCCTGAAAACACAATGATGTTCTGTGGAAATTTCTCTTGGATCAGGGTAACTACCTGAACAGATCTTATTCAAAAGGATGCACAATTCCTTTAGGCCCTTCAAGAGGCTAGAATTGCCATAGCAATTCAAACTTGCTATGTATGAAATAAGAACTTGAACTCATTCTCCACCTCACCTTCAACTCTACACAACTGAGCATTTCTGTAGAAATGTACAGCTATTAATAAACATATGTGTATTGAAATCAGTAAGTAAAAGTATTGGCTCTCTTGAGCAACCCAGCAACATAGGTTCTAAGTGCTATGCACTTCTTAGCAAGGTGTCCTTAGTAGCAGTTACATCCTCACATAGATAATAATAGACAGCAGAGCTAACTGACTCTCCTGGAAGGGATGGACACCAGATTGTCCCGGTCAAGGGAGTGGCATCTCTATTTAAAGCTCTTCTGGGAAAAGGACCCTGTGATCTATCCTTAGTAACCACTTTCATTAGGCAAAATTGTTTTTTATAGCAAAAGGATCAGTCAAACTTTAAACTGACCTGTTTGCACAGTCATTTGTTGCTTGGCACATCTTGCTGGCCAAGAGAAGAACCCTTACCTAGGATAAACGTCACCGAAGATATGGCCCAAGAGCTGAACACGGGCCAAGTAGCCTAAGAGTGGGTAGACGGTCATCATCTGGAACAGCAGGAATATCCTTGCAATGAAGGACAGGATGTCACCGCTAGGGAAGTTGTCTAAGAAGTTCTAGTCCAAGAAAGACAATAGAGTCATGTCAACACTCAATGCAGCACATTCAAATCCACATTTTCTGCTTACTGTGAACAAGGCAATACCCGAAGAGCGGTTTATGAACTGATGCCAATCTGCTTGCTATTTGTCAGGAGGTGAGTACAGAAACCGAAATTACATATTTAGAAACTGATAAAACATCGGAACTGGCATATTCTTTTTTATAAAAATTCTGGTCTGAAAACGACAATGTTTAAACAATAAAGAAGACCTTGTTCTTCACAACAGACAGACCAAGAAGCACAGCTCTAAACAGTTCATATGCAGTAAGTAAATTTGCTCCTGATTTATTAAAACGGCATTGGATCTTTCCTATCGTTCTCCTGCTTGGCCTCCACTGACACCAGCACTTCAGAGTGTGCACGGTGAGAGCGCATTGTCACCTGGTGCCAACAAGGCTTGCAGCTAACGCTAAGTAGGAAGGATTTACTTTTACACGTTGGCTCGTTTTCTTCATTTCGGTTTGGTATCTGAAAAGTTAATTAACTCGGAATTACATTTTCCCTTCCAACTATGAATACCACACATATTCCTATTCCCAGGGGAGTCAGCTTTATGTGGGGTTATTCATACCAGGGAAAATTGCAGCAAACACTTGGCTGCCAAAGAACTTCCCCAAACAACACAATGAAGAGGAGAACATTTTCAGCTATCACACACAGAGAACACTACTATCAACACTGCTGAAACACACCTTTTAACTGGCTTAAAACATGATCACTGGACTCCTAGCGGGGTTTCCTCTGGCTAGGAAATCACCCGTGAAATGCTGTTCTTCATGAGAAACTCTTTAGTACCCAAGATGTTACTATGTGTAAGTTTCACTGCAACTGCTTAGAGAAGGATTTCTCTTACTGCTCCCCAGCTCTCACGTTTTAATAGCTAAATAGTCTGCCTTGTTTTGCTCCTTTTCACTCAGTCTCTAAACTAGAGTCCATAGGTGAATCAAAACCGGTTCATCCAGGATGTTTCCACAAGTAAGCTGTGGAAAATAAGGACTTCAGTGGATTCTAGGCGGAGGCTCTAGAAACCCACGTGAACACTGGTAACTGGTGTACACAAAGAGAAGTGTGTGTACGTGAGAGCGGTCACCTGGGCACACAAGCTGCAGAGTATGCAAAGCTTACTCCAGAAGTTATCAAATGGAGCCTGCATGTGATGTTACTGGATGCAAAGTCACACAGGCGCACACAGTGCCTTACCTGCTCAATACAATCTTTGGATAATGGAGGTGAAGGAAATGAGGCAAAAACCAGGAAACCAATATAGAGATAAGTCAGCGTCACCAGCATATAAGCAATGCACAGGTCTCTCACCTATAAATAAACACAGAATAAAATGCTCACTCAGCATGAAGACATCTACAGTAAGTCTACTTAAACATACTAAGGAGTCTGACAAATAAATAAATCCAAATTTATATTCTTATTTTGTACGTGTTTGTATACTTCCTACCTAATTTTCACAGAATGCAATTATATGTAGATATACATATATCTATATATACGTATAATTACTCTTGTTAGTTTTTCTTTATAACTTGTCTGGAGTATGTAGACTAAGCTACTTGACTTTGGCAGTTAATATAAACTGTGGTTCTAATTTAATTTCAAAAGGTAATGCTTGCCAAATTAAAAAAACTTAATTATAATAAAAAAGACAACAAGAAAGTATAAGCCACTTTTGGTTTGACCTATGAAATTTTAAAAATTCTTTTTTAGTAAATTAGCTTATATCATCAAAGTATGCGTAGGCCACGGGAGTAGAGCATATTAAAATATGTTTAATAAAAAAGGAACACCAGTTAAAGAGTAGACAAGTACACTTTAAAGACAAGCTTTGAAAACTTAAACAGTAAACAAAAGGACATTTAAAAAGCAGCTGTTCAAATAGCAGTCCAAAGCTATTACCGGAGTCAGCAAACAAACACATTATTAAATAAAGCGGCCTACTTTCTTCCTCTGCTGTTCCCACCCTCCCAGTCCTGCAAAATAAAAAGCTCCAAGAGACTGAGAGCAGCCAGCTGTTAGATCCAAACACAGCAGATTCCACAGCTGGCAAATGCTCTCCATTACCACTTAAGTTACAGCCAAACAATTCAACACAACTAAATTGAAGCCACAGGCCTATTCATTTGAGATAGAAATGACGCGAAAGCTAGGAAAACAGATTAGAAACAAATTATACGCAGTTTTTAAGTTTGATAACATAGTAAGAGTGTTCAGACACTTGGAATTAGGGACCATTTTGGATTTTTCTGGATGACTCCTAAAATGGGCTGAAGCAACAGCAGTGCTTTATAAACTTGAGATTCATAAATCTGGCTCAAGAGTAAACAAGAACCCATAAGAGATCTTAAAGTCAGGTCAAAACTGACATTCAGTTAGAAAACAAACCAGAGATTCAGTATCAGAGATGAGACAGTGGGCAGGCCTCTGAGCTAGACGTTTATGCAAATCAGTATCAGCTCTTTCAGATCTCCCTGAGAGTTTAAGAAAGGGACTTGAGATCTTTTCTCTTAGTTCCTGAAGCTCCACGACTCAGTTCCAGTTCCGGCTAGCATTCGGTTTCCCCTGGGGTTGTGTCTCACTCTTGTGTGGGATGCGCAAAAACAAATCAAGAAAGGCCGATTTTCATATCAAAAAGCAGTTGGCCTCAATTACAACATTTCAAAGGCATTCCAGTCTCCACCTACTCGAGCTGGCTCGAGAATTAAGACAACCTCATTCAAAAAGTGATTTATTATCTTGATGTGTGTGTATGTGTGTTTGTGGGTGCACGTGAGTGCTGGTGCCCAAGGATACCCCTGGAGCTGGAGTTACAGGTGGTTGTGGGCTACCTAATGTGGGTGATGGGAATAGAACCCCGGTCTTCTGAGAAAGCAGTATACGCTCTTAATTGATAACCATTTGGCCAGCCCAAAATAGCCCCCTTAAGGAAAGAAAATCTTGGGGGGCCAGGGAAATGAGGCCTGGAGTTCAGCTCTCCATAAGCCCATGGCAGTAACAAGTGGCCTGTAATTCCAGCCTTGGATGGGAGAGATGGGATCCCCAGAGCAACGTGACTGGCAGGACCTGTCAGATCCGTGGGCTCTGGGTTTGACTGAGAGAGTCTGCCTCAGTGAGGCAGTAAGAACAATTGAGATGATTCCCAACTTCAACCTTGGCCTCCACATGCCCATACATTTGCATAACACACACACACACACACACACACACACACACACACACACACACAATGGAAGAAACAGAAGACAGAGAAAGCGAGAAGGGAAGGATTTCACTGACAGTCTGTAACTCACGTACTATCTGACTGTATTACTCTAGTCCAGCTTCCTGAAAAACATGTACCTATGTGAAATTTCAGGAGACGATTCCAAGGCTAAGGCGCCAGGGCCTCCCAGCAAAGCAGTTCCTCCCTGCTTCTTCCTTCTCAGAGCATTAGCCAAATGCAGTAATGCGCATGTTCTAATAGCCATTAACTTTTACTATAAAACAATCCACTTAAGAGACTTATTACTATTATTTATTTTTTAAATTGTGTGTGCACGTGCGCGAGCACACACGCGTGCACGCACACAGGAGCCCAGGTGTCCACAGAGGTAAGAAAGGGGGCTTGGATTCCTTGGAGCTAGACTTACAAGTAGTTGTGAGCTGCCCAATGTGGGTGCTGGGAACTGAATTTAGGCTCTCTGCAAGAATAATTCACACATTTAAAGGTTGAGTCATTGTTCCAGTTCCCAAAATAATCAATTTTTTGAAAAAGTTCTTGAGTGGAAAGATGTCCCTTGACATTAAAAAAGATTAAAAAAAATAGTCAAGTTTAATAGTTACTTTATCATAAATTTTTCTCTAGATAGATTTACACCACTGGGCTATGAGGTGCTGGAGACAATGATTGTGTCTCTTTTGTCTTATATTCCCAATGCCTAGGACAACACTGGACATAGCAGGAACTTGTAAGATAAGATGCAGGCATGACCTGGCAGCCAGCCTACCTGGTACACTGTGTTTCTGAACAAGAAGCATGGCACACCATGCCCCAGACGTTGGCACACTGAACTCTGGAGTAGTTGGCCGTGGACACGCCTGCGCTCTCCGTGTCTCTCCCCATAGAGACCCTGGTGCTCTGAGCGCTCACCATCCAATCCGAGGTAACGTGCTAACCAATCACAGTCCATAGGCTTCCACTGTGTAAGTAGTCGCTCACATGCAAAAAAGCACCTGCTGTTCCCTGAAACTGTCTCGAGTGGTTCTCCTCCATGCCCTTTACCCATCTGGGCATTGTGTGCTTTGTCAGGCAACACCCTGGTAATGACGGCAGGGACTCAATACAGATAAAAACACACATCTGTTAACTACTCCTAGATGCCAGCATCTGTGCGAGGCGCGGCCTGCCATCTCATCTGGGCCTCAGAAACCTTCTAATGTAGCTGCAGTCCATTTCCTCACAGATGAGCGTAAGTCACAAAACTTACATGGTGAGGAGTTTGGTGAAGCCAATATCCAGCTTCCAAACAAGGTCTTTCTGGTGCCAAATTGTGTGCACTTAGCTACAATGATGAAACGTTTACTAGGTTCTGTGTATTTAAGCCATATTTAACAATGAAAAAGAGAGGCAAAAAAGGAGTAACAAAGACTTGAACATGAAAGCATACTAGAGAGCCCGCGAGGACAGCTCTGTTAGGTGTGCTCAGCACTCACTTACAGCCCGGCAGGAGCCGGGGGTCTGTTTTCCTACAGAAGCACTGATGAACAAAAACGATGCTTTTGCTTTCAAGCAGCAGAGGCCCAGCAGGATCTGGGAACTATGCCACCCAGGAAGAGCCTGCTCATACTGGGGGCTTGCTATTCTTTGAAGCCCGTGTTATCTCTGCACTGGACCCAACATGCAGCTTCCTAAAATCCTAACTCAAAGAAAAGGGTAGGAGAAGGGATCTTCTGGGAAATTCGGTATAATGACTATGATAGTTGCTCTCTGTAATCCCAGCAATGGGGAGATAATGGAGAATCAGGAGTTCAGAGTTATCCTCAGCTACGTAGTGACTTTGAGGTCACCCTGGGCTACACTGAGACCCTGTCTTAAAGGTGGGGGTTGGGGAGAAAGGCTCTAAGCAAAGAGTATGTTTAAAAAGAGACAGAAGCACAGTATGAGGTGCTAATACGTCTGTGTCAAGAAGCCTTCACCCTACTCTGCCTCATAAATAAGCAACGTCTGGAAGATGAAGAACTAAGGACAGGTAAAACGTCAACTCCGAACAAGGACTTAGATTTACAATAAAGTCAAAAGTAACCCTGAGAACACATCTGTTTGTCAAACACAGTTTACTTGTTCCATGAACTGTTCACAGTGAAAATACTACCCTGTGGAGCATTCCATAAGAAAAATGACAGACAACAGCCACACAGATCTACCCAAACTTTTCCATAAAAGCTTCTGATGTGTACCCAAGCATCTACAGACCCAGACAAGAAGAAAAAAGTAACAGCACATGGGACAGAAGACATGCTGAATCACTTTAAAGATCAGAGCTGGGTAACTAAATCAACAACAAAGCTGCACAGAAAGCTCTGCAAAGGCCTGACCCAACAAGAACTGTCAGGACGCGTGCAGTCCACATACCCACGTAGACTATGGATTTTGATGATAAGCTCATTGTCAACCCCCTAATGTTTTCCTGGTCAAGGGTGCTTTAAGGAATAGAAATGGTATATGGTTTAGAGCTACATAAATAACGTTACATTTAGTGACAAAAGTTCAGAAAGGGACGTCAAACTTGGGAAGCTGGGCCATCTGGCCAGTGCAGCTGGTGAGGGCTTCCTGACCCTTCACAAGTACCTGGGAGAGACGGGCTCAGGTCCAGCTTCAGGAACACTGGTGAGAAAGACCCAGCCTTCTACTTTCAAATGTCTTCACAACTCTCAGATTTTCTGACTCTAATCCCCCCTAAATTTTGTATCTCACTATTAACTAGACATTTTAAGTTAAATTATTTAGTAAAAGTCCTTAAAAGGTGTAATTATTAGATAACTCAAATAATACAGTATCTGTTTAGCTTAATATATGCCAATATAAAAGCCAATTTCAGTATAAGCAAGACTATATATTTACATAAATCTAGAGTGGTTAGGATGCTGCTGGCACATAGCACTTCAGAAATGTTCATTTTCTTCATAGTAATTAACACTTACAAATAAAGTACAACTGCTTTTTACAAAAAAAAAAAAAAAAAAAAAGTAGAGCAGGGCCAGCAGTAAGGCACTTGCTGTGAAGCCTCATGACTTCCGCTGGGTCCCCAGGACCCACACGATGGAAGAGCTAACTCACTGCCCAAAGTTGACTTCTAACCTCTAAGCGTACATGGGACATTTGTACACACACAATAACAGTTGTAGAAAACTAAAACTAAAAAAAAAAAACTTTAAAATTTAGACCATCACTTCCTTTGCAATGCATGACGACTTGCTTATAGACTCATTCATAAATAAGCTTATGAAAACCAACAGACTTAACATGGAAAGCAAAAAAAAAGAACACAAATGAAGAACAATATCATCTTGATATTGATCTAACAGTATCAATAGACAGCACTTTATGTGTAATGTTAAATTATGAGTAACTAAGAATAAATGTACTGCTAAGTAATATTTCTATAGTTTTAGTAAACGGCCAAATCTAATTCACACAGGGTGCACTTATTCCCATTAGGGCATTTACTCAAATGTAGATTTTTATATATGCCGCCTTGGTACTTCCTAGTGAATTAGTCCAAAGGATCACAATATAATCATTCCTCATTGACTCTGGCATTATCATTTACATGCAAGTAACACAGGTGCTCTAGTTTCTTACAGTATTCAAAAGCTATATCTTTATATTTAAAGTTTCTTAATGATGCCATATAATTCATTTTTCAAAGCAGAAGTGACAATTTTCATTGTAGCACTTGGGCCATTTATATTTAGTGTAATTATCAATGTAACTGGGTTGAAATCTACTAGCTTGCTATTTAGTTTTTTTTCCATATGTATTTTTTGTTCCCCTTTGCTTGTCTTCTTTATTATTCTCATTTATTATTATTATTGGAGTGTTATTAGCTATACCTCTTTTGAGAGAGAGAAAGAGAGGGGGGAGATTCTCTACAGCAGTCTGGGTCTGTGGGTCAAATCTACACCACCCATTTGTTTATCTATTGTCTGTAGCTGTTTTCATGCCACAACAGCAGGACTGGGTAGCTGTAACAAGAACATATAGCCTGCAAAGTCTAAAAGAGTTATCATCTAAAAGTTTCATATGCTTGACCACTGATCTATAATTTAATCTTAAAAATTAAGATGCAAAAACAAATTGCAAATAAAATAAAAGTGCATCAAACACTGGTTGGAGTTTACCCTTAGGAAATGTCAAGGCCAGTTTCTCAGTTAACTACTCACATTATTTTCCTGGTTCTTGTTGTTTTTCAAGAGTGTGATAATACAATTGTGGATAAAGAAAGCAAGAGTGAGCACTCCGGTCAGCTGTGGAAACTCAAATCTTATCTCTAGGAGAAAAAGAAACAAAAATGACAAGCAGAAAATGAGTATCATCATTCACTAATCGTCAGTTTTCTCTTATATCATCACTACCATCATCATCATTGCCCCAGGGAACAAGAATATTCAAGCAATTATGAAGTCCCTCAAGGTGAGCGTTACACTTAGTCAAAGCATTTGGAAGAGGAAGAAATGGAATTAAGGATGTACATTCTGTGACTTCCTCTCAGTTATCCCTAGCTGAGGTCCCACAACTAGATTTAAATTCAGGGTCTGTCTAGGACTAAAAAAATCTTCCAATCTCCTAATACCTGAGCCTGCCTGGAAAGTTCCTCTGGAAAAGAAATCACAGAGGAGAGAAACAGCTACGTAAGAGTCTTGGGTGACAAGTCTACATGCATATCATAAAAATATTCCTGGTTAAACTGAGATACAGTTTGCAGTGGGATACAGTATTTAAAAAGTATGCTGTTGAGATTTAACACCAGGACAAATGTTGGAGTCAAGCAGCATGTCAAGTCTAATTTGCTTTTGTTTTTTAAAATACACATAAACAGCTGTACATGATGTGCTCAAGAAAAGACGTTGATAACAATGGCTATCTCTGGTTGACAGGGTTTATTTTAAATATAGCCATTTAATTATCTATAATAAATACAGTTATTTAAAAAATAGTATTCTATCTAGAACCACTGTTTGGAGGCAGGTAATAAGGAAATGAAACGATTAGCTAACGTAGAACCAGGCTACAATCTACTTAGCAGTATTGGTAGGTCTAGGCAAAGCAAGTGGCAAAGTGGAGAGCCATCTCAGGGACAGCTTGGGGTAAAGATCAGAACCGCAGCAAAGGTCTACTGGCCCTTCGCCGCGCTGTGTCAGGAAAGGAAGTGTGGCCACTAAGAATCAACCGCCAGCTCTAAAGAAAATCAGAAGGCAAGGCCAATAAAAGTATATGGTTTTGCTTCCTTTCTGCTTGCTTTTTCTCACTGTCTCAGCCTCCTGAGTTCAATACTGAGGTTACAGGCATGAATCACTATGCCTGGCTTATTCTGTTTGCTATGATGTTTCCTGTCTGTCAGCTTTCATTTATATTTTTTTAATCTGTGAATGCAACTCACAATATAGGCAAATTCTTCCTGTTAGTTTTTGAAAATCTTTTTTTTTATTGTTAATCTTTCTAATACACCCAATAAACTGAGATCACCGCTAGTTAACAACGGCATTACACATAACGATGACAAAAGCACTATTTTTGAAAATGATGACAAAATCATGTGCAGATGGATTTACTTGCTGATATTTTTAACAGAGGAATAACTGAGGAACTCTTTAGCTGGGGGGATCCAAAGTAAAGCAGCTAAGTAGGAAAGAGAAATCACCAATCATAGTGGTTCATGTCTATAATCTTAGCACTTGGGAGGCTGAGTCTGGGGCCAGGCTGGGCTGTTTAGCAAATTCCTGATTGGCCTGGGCCAAAGGGAGATCCTATCGCAAAGGCTGCCCTGCCCCATCAACATCTCTGGATATAATAACAGGTTAGAAGCTGTAAGAAAACAAATTAAATGATCCTATCCACATTAGCAAAACTGACATTAGTTTGGCCTAGGGTTACTTTCATTTCTATGTATATTAAAGTACTCTGACATATACCGTGGAAGGACAACATGCCATCTCCCTTCAAGCGAGACCTAAGCAAGGTTGCTAGCTGATGGCTTCTGGCTGCAGCCGTCCGATGTCTGCTGCCCTGATCCTATACCAGTCATATTTCCACTGGACAGCTACTAGCTCACCCTGAGCTTGCGGTGTATTAGTGTTTGGGCACATTTGTTCTAGAGGCAATATTTGCATTGAAGGCCGTAGTGGCTGGCCAGGACTTTCTGAATTTACTTCTGTTGAATCCATTTCTTTTTCTTCTCTTCCCTCCTACATATCCCAACCAGGCTTAGTCCTGCTCCTAATCATTTAATTTGCAGAATCCTTTAATTTAAATTTGCTCTTATACATGTCCTGCTCTTCTGACTATTCTGGTACCTGCTTACTGGGGAACTGAAACTGATCCAGTTGGAAGTGTATGAGAAAATGGGATTGGAGGGATTTGACTGGGGTCGATGGGATTTGAGCCCTGGATCACTTACTATCAAGATTTCAGTTCTCTGTGCTGTTTATGCTAGATCCTAAGGTTCTTTTTGTTTTGAGATGGGATCTCACGTAGCCTAGGCTTGCCTCAAACCCCACGATGTACTTGAGAATGACCTTGAACTTCATGATCCTCCTGTATCTACCTCTCTGCAGTTGGAGGCGTGTGCCACCATATTCAGTTTTATGCAGTGTTGAGGACCAAATCCAAGGCCTCTCGCAAGCAAGCCCTGGATGAGCAGCGGGACCCCAGCCCGAAAGGTTCTGACAGTGTTTCCCCTGTTGACCGAGAGTGACTGGGAGGAGGGAAGGCACTCCTGACCTCATCCTTTTGTGGGCAGCATTTCATCATGGCAGCCTCCCTACAAATTCTGTTTCCAAGCAGAGCACTGTAGGACTATTCTTCCTTCTCGCCACTGGCCTTCTAAGGACATAAAAGCCTATCTTGCAAGTGTGGGAGGAGGAGGGGAGAGTCATAACTGGCCTTTAGAGTTATATTTAGCTTAAAAGAGAAGACTTTTCAGTCCAGTTCTTGTTTTTTAGTACTTCCTACCATTTTTTCAACAAGTATTCTTTCAATCGAGCCATTCAAATTCTCATAATTTCCTAAGTGAGTCATGTTACTTCAGGCCTTAACTGTACATGGCATACCACTGAGAATTCTCCAACTTCTCACTTAGCGATCTCCTTTCGGCCTTTAATAGATCCTCTGAGATCACTTCCCTGCCTCCTCTTGGATGTGCAATCCCTCTGTACTCTACTGTCCCCTGGGCACCTCTTTATTTATGATTGTTACTGCATCAATTGTCTTACTGCTCAACTGGATCTCTTGGAGGGCATGTTTTATACAACATCGTGTGCCATGTAGCAGGAACACTATTGCCAGAACTGAAGGATTCCCAGCCACCAATATGAACAAAATTCTATTTAAAACTGCTTTTGGAGTTGAGATTATTAATTTTCTCTTTGATTGACCTTTTCCATCTCACAGCAATCAACCTCTTTAAGACAGCTGATGAACTTGGCCCTTTTCAATTAAGGCTTTTGCACTAATTGATTGACACAAATACCTTTTGAGCAATTCTTTTAAGAACTGAGATTTTTCAGTGTTGTTAAAATATAATTCACATGTTTTACTCATGTAAGGCATAAACTTAATTTTTTTAGCATATTCAGATTTGTGTGATCATAACCACAGTACTTTGTTCCCTTCTAGTGTTGGATAATATTCCACCATATTGATTCATCATACTTTATATACTCACCAGGGACAGACATTGGGTTGCTTCCACTTTTAGCAATTATGAGTAATGAAGTTATAAACACTCTCTCCCCGCCTCTCTTTTTCATATGATGGGGAAATATGCTTAACATGCCTTTTCAAAGGATATAACATTTGTGGCATGATTATTCTATTATAATTAAAGAAGACAAGCAATTCACAAAGGGTCGGAAGTTAATTGAGGAAAACACCTGATGTAATCGCTGGCCTTTGTGTGGTGCGTATGTATGTACGTGCATGCGTGTGTGTGTGTGTGTGTGCACCCCCCATACAGAGTAAATTAGAATCTAAAGTCTCCTTGAAGTCAGTTTCAAAGAATTATGAGGACTTTTTTTTTTGAGATAGGTGTCTGTGGTGGTTTGAAAGAAAATGGCCCCAAAAGGAGTGGCACTGTTAGGAGGTGTGGCCTTGTTGGAGGAAGTGTGTCACTGTGGGGTAGGCTTTGAGGTCTCCTATATTAAGTTGTGCCACCTAACGTGATGCCATGGTTATGGTGTCTTTTTACAACAGAAACCTTAACTAAGGCAGTCTCACTATGTAGCCCAGGCTGACCTCTAACATGTGACAATTTCTCTGACTCAGCCTTCTGAGTGCTCCTACAGGTATGAGTCAGTACACTTGGCTCAGAAATGTCATCTTAATTGCAGTTTTCAGTGTACTAATTGTTAAAAGTTAGCCTGCCATGGTGGCACACACCTATGGTCTTAGCACTGTGGAGGCAAACACAGGAAAAGCAAGAATTGGAGGCTAGCCTTGGTTACACAGTATATAGTAGGACAGCCTAGGCGACATGAAATCCTGTCTACTCCCCCGAAACCCAACCAAACAAAAACTCTTAAAAGTTGAACAATTTTGGGGGTGTGGTTCAGTCACTAAAGTGCCTGCCAAGGATGAAGACAGAACTGGATTTGGTCATCAGCACTGAATAAACCAGCTGTGGTGGTTGGTGCATGCTTATACTCAACATGGGGATCAGAAGTGCCAAACAGAGTTTTCAGTTTGGATTTGAAAAATCAAGTTTTTAATTTGATGATTGTGATTGAATTCATAGTAAGCCATGTACTGTACTGTGATTAATTTCCTTTTATATAAAAACTTTTCATTGATCCATTTTTCTGGAAAAAATAATTTTTTCTTTTTAGTTCCTTAGTTATCTAGTTAATACTACTTCCTCCTCAAACTTTATTCAGGAATTGCAAACTCTTCCTGCTCAGTCTGTACAACACACCGAAAAAGTTTTGCACTTCCCACAGCCCGCTACTCCAAGTCCCACCACTCTCTCCATATCTTTTCGTGATAGTTCTTGAAGTTCTGGATAGAGCAGCAAGACAACAAAGGGAAACCAAGGAGATTCAAATTGGAAAGGAAGAAGTCAAACTTTTGTTATTTGCAGATGACATGATAGTATACATAAGTAACTCCAAAAACTCTACTAGGAATCTTCTAGAGCTGATAAATACCTTCAGTAATGTGGCAGGATACAAGATCAACTCAAAAAAATCAGTAGCTCTCTTATACACAAATGATAAGCTGAAAAAGAAATCAGAGAAACATCACCCCTCACAACAGTCACAAATAACACAAAATATC